ACTTCTAGATTATTTTACGAATTCTTCTCTCTGATGATGTATGCAATATAAGAACTACTTTAACTGAAACATCTCAGTATAACCAAACTACAGCAGGTCAAATAAAATCCACTCTCGTCTTCTGATACCGATTTGTAAATCTCCGCTTCACACACTTTAAATTTCATCGAAAGCTCAAACGTTTTTTTAATTCCTTATTTTGCTATTTTTATTTTATTTTATTTTTGATAAGACATTAGTACACTATTCAACCTTATGAAAAATATTTCATTGGGCACTTGAACGTTTCTTAAAGTTCCTACAAATCAATACAAGATTATTCATTATCATTATAGTGTATAAGAAGTATGCGAAAGGCGTCTCCCAATGATTAAGGATATTAATGAATTTCGTAGTAACTTATACTTAATCCGTTCTATCATGCTATTGGTTTCTTTGGTAACTGAATTTATTTAATTATTATAATCTCATCTAAGTTTCATGATCATTGACAATTAAATTACCTTTAATCAACTGTTTTGGTTTTACTTTTCCTTGAGATATGTTATATTTAGAAGCTAGCTGTAAAACTTTACTCTGAAAATCTTGCAGCGGGCTTCGTAATTATTATCGGAGAATAGATTTTGAAACTAGACTACGTTTTGATCATCAGTTCCAGAAACATCAAGACTTGTTCTGAATAAATTAACTGGGATTATATAAGTTATTTGACCTTGTTTTTGCAACTTGGTCATATTGGTAGAAAGACTTAGAGTAACGCAGCTAGACCGGAGTCTATTGTATGCATGATAATTTCCAAAGTTGGACCGTTGACGTTGTGCAGACGTTTCGCCGGCATCGTCAGTGAGTCTTGCCGTTCTTACCAGCACACAGTAATTCGTCAAAAAAGCCGATTCTTTGACCAAACGTGTGCTAAACATTTGTGGCATCTTTCCGTCTGTTCTGGGCTATTCACCTCTTCTATATCCTCGTATCACCCTTTCACTATCACACTTCTTTTCCTTGCACATTTAAATCCAGTCTGGTGTGCTCTTTTGAGCGGCTTCCATGAGAAATCTCCACACTCCACGCTGGTGTTTTCGCCACCAGTCCGAGTCCCCGAGTCCATTTTATGTATAATCATTTCCAAAGTCGGACCGTGAACGTGCTAAATTTCCAGACGTTTCGCCGGCATCGTTAGTGAGTTTTCCCATTCG